ATTTAAGAAAAAAGATAAAAAAGTAACTCTAAGAAAATTATAAATATTTACAAGTCATGCAAGGAACACAAGCCTTACTCCAATGGTGTAAACAAAATACTGCAGGATATAAAGATGTCAATGTCACAAATTTTCATTATTCATGGAAAAATGGATTAGCCTTTTGTGCACTTATTCATTCATTTCATCCTGAAGCAATAGACTTTAATTCATTGTCAAAAGACAACATGGAAAAGAATTTGGAGCTAGCGTTTTCTACAGCAGAGAAACTAGGAGTTCCAAGATTGTTAGATGTAGAAGATTTTGTATTATTAGAAAAGCCAGAGCAATTTAGTATTATTACTTATCTTGGTGTTATGTATCAAATGTTCCAACTTAAGGGAGGTTCAGTTGCTGATGAAAATAAAAGAGTTGAAGAGGAAAAGAAGAAAGAAGAAAATACTAAAAAGCCAGTTGTAGTTGCTCAGCCCTATTCCTCAGCGTCAAAACCTCCACCTCGTCCAATAAACCGAAACAACCAACCTTTATCAAAAAGTAGTGGAAGCACTGAAAATACTCCAATAATTCTAAAAAAGAAAGTTACTGTTCAAAAGTTTGTTATTTTTTATAATCTTTAAAGGAAATTATTAATCATTAATAGGCAACAGTTAGAAGTTTGTGCAAAGTGTGGACAAACGTTGAATGGTAATGTCTTGGAGGCATTAGGTAGGAAATACCATCAACAGTGCTTTGGTTGTACTATTTGTTCAAGAAAATTAGGTGCTTCATTTGTTACTGTAGACAATCAACCATATTGCGAGACTTGTGGTAAAAAGATTTGGGTTCAGAAACAAGCCAAAAAAAAGGCTGAAGAGCAACAAAAATTAAATAGTCAGGAAGAAGAAAAGAAAATTATTGAAGCTCAAAAAGCACTCGAAGAAAAACAAAAGAAAGAAAAAGAGGAGTTTGAACGAAAACAAAGAGAAGAAAAAGAAAAAGGGAAAAGGAGATGGCTGAGAAAAAAAAAAGAGAAGATGAAAGATTAGCATTACTTGAGAAACAAAAAAAAGAAAGAAAAGAACGTGAAGAAAAACTAAAAAGAGAAAGGGAAGAAAGGTTAAAGAAAGAACAAGAAGAAAAAGATAAGAAAATACAAGAAATAAAAGAAAAACAAGCAATACTATCAAAAGCCCAACCTTCACATATCGTCTCAACAAAAACAGAATCTAAACTGTACACTCTCAAATAAAATATTGACAGAGCCAGAGTGGAAAGAAACAGCGTGAGGCAGAAGAGAAGAAAAAGAAATGCAAGAAAAGTTAAAGGCAATAAAACAAAAAAGACTCGAAGAAGTAAAAAAGAAAAACCAAACTATATCAGAAAAATCTAAAACTACTAACTCTTCTTCCAAACAAAAAGAATCTGAAGAAATAGAAAGAAAAGAACAAGAATTAGATGATCAGGCTAAAAAGATTGAAGAAGAAAAACAAAGAAAAGAAAGAGAACTTAAACTCCAACAAGATGAAGAAAAGAAAAAAAGAGAAATTGAAAAAACCAAACAGGAAGAAGAAAAAAAGAAAAGAGATAAAGAGCTTAAACAACAAAAAGAGAGAGAAGAAAACCTGAAAAGAATTGAAGAGAGTGAACAAAAAATAAAAGAAGAAGAAAAGGAAAAAGAAAATAAAGAAGAAGAAAAAAATGAACAAGAGGTTAAAGAGTCTAAACCAAAGCAAGTAGGAGTTGAGGAATATGAGGTTAACACTAAAGGGACAACCAACCAACAAGAAAAAGAGCAAATTAAACAAGAAAATCTTTCAAAAACAAAAGAAGAGAATATTGAACAAGAAGAAAAACAAAAAGAAGAGAATATTGAACAAGAAGAAAAAGAGTTATTACAATTAGAAGAAAAACAAAAGAAAGAACGAGAAGACTTTGAACTAAAACAACTTCAAGAAAAAAATAATCTTAGAAAAACTATTAGTAGGAAAAGTAGTAATAATAAAGATCAATATTTACTTGAAACACCAAACACACAAACACTTAAAAGAGATGATTTAACCCAGTACGTGTTAAGAGTTAATGTGTTAATGCTAAAATCTAATAAAGAAATTAAAAGGCCTTTATTTAAACTTCATAGAAACCAA